TGTCATTGCTCCTATGCTGGAACATGCTCAGCAGTGACTAAATAGCAGATTAACACAGTAAGGTAGTTAAGGGAGCAGCCAAACCCAGCTGGTTTTACTGGTGGAATTTAGTGTAGATACAGTTTGTTTCTGCTCTGTGAAGTGAATCTATTCAGAAGGATGTCCTCCTACGAAAACTTCTATGGAATTTTTAATAGCCAGAAGTGGTTGGAGCATTGTTTATACATCTTGTCTGAAAGCTGGAAAATGTTCCTCTAATCGAGTTTTAAAAAAGGGAACATGTAGGGGGAAAGGAAGAGAGAACAGCCTGAGAATATCCGTTGAGGCAAATATTCTGAGACAATCAGATTTGTTCTCAGAGATGAATGTATATTATTTTAAAGGCCAGAAGAAACATGTCTGCTCATTTTGTGTATGAGTAAGGAAAGGTTTGTTTAGTTTAAAGCCTTGCATTGTGTAAATATCTTTACACTTGCAAGATGTTTCAACTGCAGCAAAATTAAATTCCATCTAATTGTTTTTTGCTTGGAATGCAAATATTGAAGACCACTAATTTGGGACTGACACAGAAGAAGGAAAATGTTTATCTTTATGAAACCAAGAAGTTAGCTTGAGAAGTTAGCAATGAGAGTCAGGGTGTTGTATTGCTTTGTAAGTGGGGTTACAGAATTAGTGTTTTGCCTGTGTTAGATTTTGTTAGATGTTTGCTTTCTGCTGTTTGTGGATATTTTACTGTGTCCTCTTGAGAGACTGAACTCTGAAGTCAGTTGAAGGGGTCAAGTGAGATTGCTTTAGACTTTGGCTGGTGGCTGGCAATTAAAAGGCTAATGAGTGAATTTAAACAGAGGAGTTTTGCTTCTTACTGCTGGAGAGCTGGAAAAGATTTAATTTTTACTACTGAGAAAGAGAACAGTGTCATGATATGGACTTAGAAAGTACTGGGGTTCTGTTTCCTATTATGGGATGTGCTCCTAGTTTTCACTAACCTGTGGGAACTTTCTTTGCAAGCTGATCTGTTGCAGTTCTTTCTCAATCTCTTAAGGTTTTGGGGTTTTTGGTACTTGCTAGCTCAAAAATGCTTCATGTTGAGAGTTGTGGGATAATGCTCTTCTTTGGATATTGTACTTGGGCTGTCCATGGTGGAGAATTACTTAACCAAGTGACATCACAACTGATGCACAATACACTGATTTCTGTGGTGAGATGCAGGTTTTTTCCCCTAGCAGGGTGTAGTAAACAGAACTGTATTAAAAGTGTGTTCCATTAAGTGTTGCATTTTAAGATGTTAATTTAAGTACATATAGTTCAGTTACAGGAATTGAGTTCTATGGACCAAGTTGGAATATATTAAATATTTTTCTGGGTTTTTTGCTGTTGGTAGTAGGAGTAGTATTGCAACATATATGGTGTTGTGTGTTTCTTTCTGTTTGGCCAAGAAGATAATTGTATTTTCAACAACTGTATTCCTCATGAATAAAATATCAGTAGAATATTGACTTTCTATTTAGTAGTACCTGAAGGTCTGAAGTTCTAGAAACAGGAAATGCTCTCCCTGTAAGCTAAAAGATTTCACAGAAATGACTTACATTAGAACATTGTCTTTATTTAAAGATTAGAAGATAGCATGAAAGAATGCTGCAGCTGTAGCTTGTTCACTGTACTGAAATGCTTTTGTTCTTTTTTAGTATTTAAATGTTCATGCTAACTCCTCCCATCCTGTCTGCTTTGTGTTTAGATTGGTGAAAGAAAAAAAAAACAACCCAGAAGTGACTCAGAGAGGACAGCTAGAAAATTTGTTTTACAGAACAAATACATAATATGTGCTCCATGAGTTATTTTGTGTGGAGGATTCTGTGAAGACAGGGTTGAACAAGAAGTGTTTTGTGGAGGCAGAAGGGTGGCATTGGGAGGGGTCTTGCCAGAGCAGATCATCTCTTACCGTGTGCCTGCAGTGTTTGCTTAGCACTGTGAAGATGTTTTACTCCACCACTGTGTGTTACCCTCCTATGATAATGTTTCAAAAGCCTTAATTGAAATACAGAAATACTGTTAGCCTTTGTTTTAAGACACAGAGTTGAAAGAGCAGGTACAGTAGCCATAAAGTCCCAGGGCCTCCTGGAGCTGGGACACCTTCCAGGCTGTAATGCCACATGAAATCTCTTCAGAAACTTTCTTTGGCTGCATTGAGTTTCCCACTGATAGATTTTCTACAGCATAAAGAGCAGCACTGGAGGAGGGAGGCAGTGATAGAAAGCAGTAGAAGGATGAAAATGAGCAAACACCTTCAGTATCACACAGAGGCCAGTTCATGTGAGTACAGGACAGTGCACCTGGGAGTGACCCTGGTGAGTCACACATCCCTCTGGGCTGGTAGTGTGAGGGGAGGAAAATGACTGCCTCTACTCAGAGTTTCTAGAAGTTGAGCAGTACTGTAACTCCCACTCAGTTATATCCTGACTCTTTTACTCTTGTCAAAAGATACTGAAATATTTGGCTCTGATATTTAAATACCATTGTTTAAAGATGTTGCATTAATGTTCAGTTTTATAGAAGTCCTCTTCAAGTGCAGAATCTTCTTTTCCAGCAGACTGCTTGTCTTTTATGTGGCAGATAAATACTTGATGTTATTCCCTAATGCAGAATGTAGTCTGACTCCATTTAGCTTTTTTCCTTTCTGTCTAACAGCATCATTAATTATACTGTGAGGCTTGTCTCTACTGTGGCTGTGATCAGAGGAAAGGAAAATACAGCAGACAGTATTTGGGTGCTGTAGGAAAACACTGAGGTGTTTGATTTCCTTTTTTTTTGTGGGTTGCTTGAGCATAGAAAACTGTTACAATTTGTGTTGATTCCAAAAAAGCAATTTCAGTCGTTCCAGATATTCCAAACCTGTCCCAAGGAGCCTTCAGTGCATGGGGGAGTAAGGGAGAGGAAACTGCAGCACCACTCACTGGTGTGCAGATTTGGGAAGAGCTTGTGGTAGTGGCTAATCCAGAGGTTTTGTTACTCAGCTTCAATAAAAAGCAACATCATTTCTGAGTTCTAAATATTTATTGCTTCAAGATGATTTTCTCTTTGAGGTTTGATTAGTATTTCCAGTTGCCAGTGAAGGTGAGAGTTACCAAAATGTCTTGCTTCAGCAAAGAGTTAAAAATTTAGCATCTCTTACTAGTACTGCTACTGTAAAGCTGCAGTGTAATTTCATCTACAATACTGCAAAAATGCTTTAAGGATCTCAGAGTGTGCTTCCTAACTAAGAGAGTCATTATATATGGTTTGCCTTTTTATAATCAATATTGGGTAGCAGTATTAATTTTTTTTTTGTCAGTTAACTAGTTGGAATATTTGTGGTGTATTTATGTACATTGTGTGTGTGTAGTCATTAATTCTTTGTGGTATAGGATCTTGGAGTAAACATGTAAGACAAAGATGTAATGTAGGGACATGTATTTATAAGGTCTGATGCAAAAAGAATCCTACCACTGTTCACATGCAAGAGATTTTTAGGAGTGGGTGGCTTTCTGATGAGAATAAGCAGGTAGACATACTGAAGTCTGGTATTTGTTCAACAGAAGACTGTTATTTCCTAAACTGAAGGTAATTTAATCATGTTTGTATCTGGAGTAGTTAAATGAAATCATTTGCCATAATTACTTCTTGTCTAACAAGGTCTGTCGCCATTTGGAGTTTGTTATGATTTGGATCCTAAAAGGAAAGGAGCTTGACCAGTGGATGTTGAAATAATCAATATATTTCATTATTAGGATTCAAACAGAAGCTCTGTTCCAAATGTGTGTTTCAAACTCTCCTCTCAAGCTGAACTTTTCTTTGTAATCCTGTTGCTTCAGTCTGTTGTGTGTGTACAGGACATAAAAGAGTGGCCTTGACCATCCCAAATGAGTACATTTGTTGTGTGTTGCTCTTACAGACCTTATTAATTACTTTTGTTGTTCCATTTTACTGAGCTGGAAGGAAAAGCTGTTCTATAATTAAGGAGCTATTCCCAAGAAAGTGGGAACATTAGAACTGTTATTACAGGATTGTTACACAGGAGGTGAATATTTGTAGTTGGTGTCTAATGCTGTACAAATGAGCAGAAGTAATATCTGTCCAAAGAAGTTTCTTGCTGGGGAACATCTGATTGTTCAAGAAAAGCAGTGGTTTTATGCTGATGATTTTTGGTCTTTGCTGGTTGTCAGACAGAGACACAGGGTGAGGGTAGGATGAGTGACAGACACGCATTTGCATCCTCAGTAGCAACTGATTTTTATCAGCAGGGCCATGTATTTCATTTAGTATGGCCAAGGAGAGACCTAAAATTGATTTCAATACTACAGACTCACCTGAAAGATGTTATGCAAAGCCCATGTTTGTGTTAGATGACTGATTTTGCTGTACTTGTGTGTCCTACTGCTGGGAGGTATTTGGGTGAGGATGTGTTGGGTTGTACCTGCCTGCATCTCTCTCAAAGCAGCCACATGAGGGGCACTGCCGGCACTAGGGATGTCTGAATTCAGCTCTAGGATTCTACACATCTTGTGTAGAGCATTGGCTATTCTTTGGCTCTTTTCCCTGGAAGAGAGTCATATCTTCTGAATCATAATTTATTTACATGTAGAATTTTGATATGTTACTGATGTAATAGCATTATATCCAACTTGAGTTTGGCAATTAAGCTGTAGAACCAAATCTTGCCACATCACATGATAACAAGATTCCTTTAATTGTCTGTTTTTCTTTTGAAAGATAGATTCTGTCCATAGTCATTCATTCAATTACCTTACTTAGGATTTTTATAAAGCAGATTACAAATATATTAGATTTAGATTTCATTTATGTTGTTTGTTTTGATTTGTTTTGGGTTTTTTTCCCTGAAAATTATGTAAAAGAAATATCCTGATGTTTCATATAAGCTTATTTTTCCCAATCAGTTTAATGAGTTTTATGTGTGATGATGAGGTATCAAATGCTAAAAAATTGTACATTTTGCTCCATTCCAGTGCCTGATGATCTCTCCTTGGAAGAAAGAGAAGAGCTTTTAAATATTCGTCGCAGGAAAAAAGAATTGATTGATGATATTGAGGTAATTGATTTACTGTAAAGATGCTTAGAGGACTCCTTCAGTAGATTAAGTTACAGACCTAAGCTGCAGACTTAAATATGAATTTCAGGATTTCAGGTAATGGTTTTAAAAGCATATAAAAGACTTAAACAAATACTTCTAATAGTGAGCAGGATTTATGCATCATATGTGTGCTTTAGGAAAGATTAGCTTCTGAATTTAGGTAATGCAATGTGTACAGATGTGCACATTTTCTTTGTGTAATCAAAAACTCATTAAACAGCAGATGTACATCCAGCATAGGAGTGAGTGAGAAATGTGGGTAAAGAAATCTTATTAATTGATAATGGCAGCTTGGTCTTGGTGCTCTGGACAAGCACACCCTGAGAGTGCAGGTTCATGTCTTTAAGTCATTCAGTTGTGATAAAATCTGTAAATACCTAAGGAAGCCCTAAGATTGTTCACTTCCCTTCAGGTAAATAACAAGTATTAGACAATAAAACCTAATAGATCATATTATTATATGATAGATGATTTCAAAAGATGTTCTAATATAGGTTAATGTATTGTCCTTCCTTCTTTTACAGAGATTAAAATTTGAAATTGCTGAGGTTATGACTGAAATTGATAATCTGACTAGTGTAGAAGAAAGGTAAGTAATGCCAACATATGGACATGATTCAGTAAGACCTTGGAACAGGTCTTCCAGGAAGTAAAAATACCTTTCCCATACTAAACAAATGATGGATTACCTTTATTTAGTCTGTTATAAAGCCTGACTTTATCCCATGCAGGTGTGTCATTTGTTTGGCTAGAGAATATGTTGGATAGAGTGTAATATTTTACTGTCCTGTGGATAAGGATATGGGTCTCTGAAGCTGCAGTTCCTTAAAGGAGTTGAAAATAGTATCATAATTTTCTCCATTATGAAAAGTGAATGTCTTAATTTTGTAGTAGAAAATACAAAGTAGCCACAACAAATTAAAAGCTCATCTAGAATCTTTTTGTAAAAGAGTGACTGGTAAGTGCTTGTTGTTTCTTCATTGTCTCCATATGTAGCAAAACTACACAAAGAAATAAGCAAATAGCCATGGGAAGGAAGAAATTCAACATGGACCCAAAGAAGGTAAAGAATTTTTTTTTCACTTGTCAGAAATCAAGTTTCTGCTAATAGTGTGTTCTATGACAAATACTTCTATGGCTTTTTAAAGAAATATTTCTGATAATGTAAGTTCCTAGGCCTTACTTGCATGTCCTGTAACACTGAGCAGAGGGTTAAATTGGAGGCAGCCATCAGGTCAGGTGCCAGCTGTCTGCTTCTTTCACTTAAACAAACCCTTGATAATGGAGGTTACTCATCAACAACCAAATATGCCAGGTATTGATCGACCTGGCTTGCTTTGTACCTGATAGAGGTGTTCTGTGTTGATATGTCAAATATAATTAAATTTGTTTTTCATGTGTGGTTGTTAGTGAGGCCATACTTCTTTTTCTTTAATGCTCTCCTATTTTATCTTTCAAAATACCTTTGCCATATTTTTTATTTTCATGCAGACTTTTATATTTGGGTATCTAAAGCCTGTGTCTGAAAAAGGCATGTGTGAACATCTGTATTTTTGTACATACATATATAGATACATACATATAGATTTGTGCCTATCTGACTTGTACAAGCTTGGTGAGCAGTTCCAAGGAGTCTGCTCTGCATGTAGCCAAGAAGTAATGCAGTTCTTTCTGGAATGCCTCTCTGTTTCTCAAATAGTTGTTAATTTTCTGGAAAATCTGTGGACCTGCACATTCTCTTACAGACTTCCCCTGCAATGTTTAAAAGAGCTTCTTTGACATATTTGACCTTTTGCCTTTGCTTTTCATATTTCATCTTCCTTGCTTTGTTTTATTGTCCTCTATTGTTTGTCATTGAGATTCCATTTTGAATTGTGAAGAGTATTCTTTAAGGTCTTCTTGGAAATTATTTAGCATTTGTTTTTCTGTGTTCTTGACATGTTTTCTTTCCAATTGTATTGAATTCAGTTACATTTTGGTGGCTTTTCTGAAATGTTCCAAGTACAGTGTGGCTTCTGTTCTTCAGACTGTTTCCAGTTTGCCAGAAATTCTCAAGTACAAGAAGCCTTTCTAAAATGCTGGCCATGTCTTTTATTTTTATTTTCCACTTTGGTGACTGCTTAACTTCTGTTCTTTTGGGGGCAGAATACCCCCAAATATCCTGGTAGTTTCCTGTGGCCCTCCAGCTCTTTCAAGTCCTAGAAGTTTGTGGCAAAGTCACAGGATGATGTTCAGATGCTTTCATTCCAGCATTAACTATTTTTTGTTATGGTTCTTACTGGATGAAATTATTTCTATAAATAGATGCTGTGGCCACATTGCTACTGTAACATAATTTAAATGTGGTGAACAGACTCAGAGTAGTAATTTCTCAATAATGCCTGTGCTCAGTGCTGCTGCAGGAGCTGTCTGCTCTAAAGCTGGGCCCTGGTGTTGCTTGCAGCTGCTGCATGAAGTTCCAGACAGCTGAAGTGTGTAAACATCCTTGTGGTGCTGGGAAAAGCTACCTGGGGTTCACTGGGAAAAGGATATTTTTCATTCAGAAACAGGAGGGAAGATGCTCTCTGGGTTTAGGAATGCCAAAGATTAGGGTAATAATACTCGGGTTGAACCCACCAAGTTTCTTCCTTTAAAACCAGGTGACAAAGGTCTGATGTTTTCATATTAGGAGGAGCACAGTGAGGTAATTTTCTTTTATCACTTCTATTTAAAGACATTACACATTCCTCTGTGTGTGTAGAGCATTTCTCCCTTGCCCCCTCTGAAAATAGGAGTGTTATGATGTACTTCAGGATGTTGTACCTGGGAGTTTGGGTTTGGTGAGCTCCTGTGGGAAGGGTCATGGTAAAGTTTGTAAAACACTTCAAGGATCCCTGTGCAGAGACAAAGTTGTGCTGGAAATTGGCTGTGCTGAAGTTGGTACTGCCTGTGTTGGGCCCAGGAAATGAATTCTCTGTGACAAAGGCAGAGTTTAAACAACTGCAAAATTTATAATTGAGTTACTGGAAAAGCAATGAAATTCAAAGCAGATTTCATTGCAGTGATGTAAAATAAAAAATAAATCCATGCAATATTTGCAGTGAATATTGAAAATGTCTGTAGCAATGAGTTTTGTGTGGGTAAGTTAAACTAGTACAGCTGTCATCTGTCTCCTGTCAGTCTACAGAAAGAAAATTTGCATCAAGACAAAAGATAGTGTAGGAGGTGGGGGTTTGCTTGGCCTATTTTGCCATTTATTCCAGACACTGAACTTGTTGTCCCAGACAAATTACTTTTCCTGTCTGTTTGACTTCTGGTTCTTTTAACATCTTAGGAATAATTAAAAAAAATCAGGAAAAGGAAAATTAAATTGATTTTTTTTCAATATGGGAAAGTGTCTGCTTCTATGCACAGAAACTTGTTTTCAACACTTCAAGTCATGTCCATTATCAGTAACTTGTACAATTTCAAAAAACCTATTCAGATCAGTCTGTTTATACCAAGCATGAATAATATGGTCCAGGTGTTGAACCAAGGGAATCTGCTGTTTCTGATATCAGAGGAGAGATTCTCTTTTGATTTTCAGAGATGAAAGCTTTCTGTATAACTTGGGATGGGAAAAAGCACTATGTTTTGTAGTCAAATATTGTACAAATAAGCTTTGAAGGGATCAGTTCTGAGGCAAGCTCAGCAATTTCTGGTTCAAGATATAATGGATATATTCTTTGCAAAGAAATCATGTCTGTTGTGAAATGACTTATCAAAATATTAAGTTGTCAGAGTACCAGCCTGGCATCGAAATTTTTCAGATGATGATGAAATTGTTCTGAGAGAATTACATACCAGACTTTCTAAAACAAAGCTTCAAGCTTTATAACATCACAGTTTACTTTCCCTGTTAAATTAGGTCAGAAAACTGACCTTTTTTTGTCAAGCAGGTAACCAGTTAATTATTAAAAACTTGAATTAATCAAACAGAAGGATAATCATGCTTTCGACTGTTACTAGAGGGCCATTGATTCTATATGAGAAAAATGGGATTTTTTCAGTTGTAATGAAATAAATAATACTTCACTTGAAGAAATTGAAAAACAAGTATTTTTGAAATTCTGAAATAGTCTAGTAGAGGATATTAGTGATAATTTAGGAACCTCTTTTGTACGTACTTGGAATCCAAGACATTAAGGCTACTTAAAGTTTCCATTTCTACTTTAACAGCAGGCTGCTGTTAGAGTTGGAAGAAATCAGCAGGAGTAGCAGCATCTGTGTTGGGGTCTGGGGGCTGAACAGAGGATGGTTACCTGTGCATGACCTGCTCAGTGTCAGAGCAGCATCCCTCCCATCCTTGCCATAATCTCTGTGTAACTCAGTCTCCTTTCTTTGCCACTTTCCAGAGAAGTCTCTGGGCTTCCCTGGCGTGTGCCAGTTGTAGGGCAGTAATTTATGGAGCAGTAGGAGTCCTGGGGCTTGATCAAGTGCCCTCTGAGGGACAGGGTAAGACTCTCCACCTGCCTTTGGTAGCAGCTGACTGAGCAGCCCTTTGTGAGTAGTGTAGCTCAGTCCTTTGTGGATAGTTTAGTTCCAGCACAACCAGAATTCACTGATAATCCCAATGTCAGCATCAACTCTTTTAAACCAGTTTCAGTATCTTCAGCTGTGACTTCCTGCTGCAAGTAGTGGCTTGATGTATTGGGTTGCAGTTTGTAGATGATACCAGATGCTTGATTTTGTGTCATGGTGGTAATTAAGTTGTTTCTATGTACCTCTTCATTATATGATTTTGCAGATTACGGCTCTGCAGACATTGATGCAATGTTGGGAACAGGCCAGCTCACACATTAGCTCCAAAGAGCAATGTGCAGTCATTATTCAATTAATATTTGATCTTTCAAATCAAATTGAAAGGTTAAGGGATTCAAACTGCCACCTAGTACTTCTAGCCTTAAAAATGTGTTTTCATTTTCATCTTAAAACCAGTACTAAATATTGCTCATCTAACTGAAAAACATTTGTTTATCATTTTATTAAAAGAAATAAAAATCTGTAGGTAATGTAACTCTGAATGTGCTATGTGTATGTCTGTGTCAGTATATTAATACCAAATGTTATGAGTGATATTTACTTAAATGCTTGTGGAAGAAGACATAACATTCCTTTTCCTCTGGAATTGCTCTTCCTAGGGAATACAGTTCCTGATAGAAAATGACCTCCTGCACAACACTGCAGAAGACATTGCACAGTTCCTTTATAAAGGAGAAGGATTAAATAAAACGGTAATTGGAGATTACCTCGGTGAAAGGTAAAGTCAAAATATTGGAACTTTGCTCTTGAGCTTACAAAGCACTTTCACAGGTTTTGGGAAGTTTCTCTTCACAGGCTGCAGGAGAGAGCTGCTCATGTTCTCTAAGATCCATAAAAGCTACAGTGGGGATGTAAAACTGCTACAGTATTGTGTTAGGTTGTTATTTTTAAATGGCTACATTATGGAATGATATTTAATTAACTATAATTTAGTACTTTGAGTTAACCAAAACATTTGTCTGTAGTGCAGAATTCAATACCATGAGCTTTTTGAATGTCTGAGAGTTGTGTTGCAACACTCCTGGTAACTCTTAGTACTGTGTCCAGGGGAGGAGTGATTTACAGTCAGTAATAATTGGACTGTACTTATTAGAACAGGTATTTCCTGGACAGTAGCTCCAGCAGGTTCTGGTGTTGTCACTTCCCTGCACACACACGTCCAATTGCTCAGCAGGTGTTTCCAAGGGCAGCTGCACCCTGTCCTTATCAGTCCTGCTACAATCAACATGCAATGCCCATATTTATGCACACTCTTGCAAAACACAGTCAGAATGCAAATGCCTTCCATTGCTGTGCAACCCAGGAATTGATTCTAAAGGCAGCTGAGGGAGGCAGCAGTGCAGTGGGTTGGAGTATGTGCATGTACGTGCTGGCACATGTTCAGTGCCACCTAGGGAGCTCTCAGAGGTGACTCATGGAGGATGTGCTCCTGTGCTGCTGGCTTGTGCAGGTCCCTTTTGAGGCACTCCTCAGGCTGCTTCCAGCAGCAACAGCGTGGTTTTTGCTCAGCAGTTTCCTCCTGGCTTTCATAGGTTCAGTCAACGTTTTTACTGTAATATGAGCGGTTTGAAAATAGATCTTTGTTATGAAATCTCTATGCAGAATATGTAGACATGTCAACAGTTTTTATACAACAGAATTATGCCTCTCCTGCTTTGCCATCCCCTCTCAGGGGCCCATCATAAATTACTTCTGTATTCTAGCTAAATATAGCTGAAGACAAGACCAGGTTAGTCAACAGACTGAAATATTTATATAACATTCTGCCATAAAGAGATAGAATCTATATTACTGACTTTTATAGTTTTACAGCACTCAGCAAGCTGAAAAAATGAATGGTGTAATGGAATAAGGTAACACTTAAAAGTATAGCAAAAATGATAATAAATAAGGGATGAATTGCAACCTAAAAAAAGACTTATGGTTTCTTTCTATGTGGGTAAATCTTCACTTCTTTTTTTAAGTGGCTTCCTGGAGCATTTTATTATTTGTCTTGTGTCTTTGGAGGTGCACTCAGCACAAGTACTGCATGCCTCTAAACAAAATGAATAATTTGCTTTAAGTAAAGACATACCCCTCTGGAGTGCTCTCTTTCATTACACTCTCATGCCACTTCATTGAAAAGCAGTTGCCCAGTTGAATTGTGCATTGCAACATTTGATGAGAATTGCTTGGTTTTGCTGAGAGAACTGGGGTGTTTTTCTGTCAACAGTGTAGGGACATGGTAATGAATGAGCAGTTGGTTTTGAGGTATTTACTCCTGAGTTGCAGGTCAGTCTGACTGTGCAGTTAGTCAGCAGAGCAGCAGATAATTCCTGGTGGGTGCACACCTTTCTATTTTTGGGTGGAGGCTGATACACAGCATTCTGTCTTGGTGAGGTATTTAGAGCACACCCTGAGGATTATAAACCTTTATTCTTCTGGCACAGGAACTCACTGATGGTGTGGGCCAAGTTCTGTCCATCCACATAATTTTGTGTTCATTACATGTTTAAATGTTAGTTTTGAATTTAAACACCCTTGTACCAAACAAAGCACAATGATTTGCATACCAATGTAAGAGATGGGTGAGAGGAAGCCCATTCAAAACCTCTTCTGATTTTAGTTAACTTTGTACCAGTTCTGGGGAATGGAGTAAGAGTACAGTACATGCTAAGCAGCTCTTTTCAAAAGTTGTTCTTTTTATTGGATGCAATCAATAGAAGCATTTTTGTTTCTTATCTTTGTATATAAATTAAGATACTGCTTCAATGTTTTCTGTTCTTAGAGTGGAAAAAAGTTTGTTAATTGTATGTTGTATGGCTGGAGAAATTAGTCTTATATTAACCATTGTTTTAAGAATTCATGATAATTTCTGCAGAAGGTTTTTTACTGATTAAATTTCTCAGGTATCCTCCTATTTCAAAGAGGTACAGTAATAATAAATGTGAAGTACAGTACAGTAATAATAAATGTGAAGTGAAGAAGGCAAGGCTATTTTTAGGTCATTTAAATAAGCAGTTCTAAAATAAGTTCAAATGTACTGGCTTTTGCTAACTTATCAGCAAAAATGGGCAAAGTGTTAGTGTTAAACATGAAAATACCTTTCAAATAAATGTGTAGATTATTTCTGATGGCTTTATTTGATCAGTGTGAATGTTTATTTCCTTATTTATTTTCAGAAGCAAATCGAGATAACTAACAAGTCTTTAAAGGTCAGAATTGTAATTGTCTGTTTCCATTTTTGTCTTTCATAGAGATGAATTTAATATTAAAGTTCTTCAGGCTTTTGTTGAACTCCATGAGTTCGCTGATCTCAATCTTGTACAAGCCTTAAGGTGAGTAAATTCTTTCTGTTTTTTGACTTGAGCTTCCTCTATCAAATTGCATGTTTATATGAGTCACTGTGTTGATTTATCCATCAGAAAGCTGCTCTACAGCTCAGCACAACTGTACAAATTACTGTGCAAGTGAGCAGAGACAGCTCTGTTTAACCCTTCTGACTGCTTGTGTGTGTGCTGCCCTTGAGGGTGAAAACTCCTGGTCATTTCAGCTTATTTTAAAATACAAGCAACTAAAACAGCTGTTAATCCTTGGTGTGCCTGCCATATGTAGACATTTGAAGACCTGTTTTATATCTTAGCACAGAGATAGGTTAAAAAAGAAATAAACTCTTTACTTAAGTAATTTTCTTCCTCCTTTTACTCTACCTCAACTTGTCCTTCTGGGCAGGGAGGGGGACAAATCCACTGATCCATGCTCTCACTGATTATGTTCAATCACAGAGAGGTAAACTTTGAAACAAGTGATTTCCTTCTGCTTGCCTCAGTTTCCCACTTGTCATGTGAAAGAGAGTGTGATATCTTAGTTTGTTTTCTTCCCTTGCTACATGAACAATTCCCTTGATTTATCTGGGATGCTTGCATACAGTGACCTTGTGAGATCCTTCTCATCTCGGTGAAAATCCGTAACAGATTGATCAAATTAGGTTGACTTAGACAGTTCTGCCTGGTTTTTTGCCCCAAGTGACTCCCTCCTGACACCAGATAAATGGAAATGTCCGTGTGATCTTTGTTTCTGGTGCAGTGCCTTGTGATGTGGAGTCAGAACAGCTTTGCTATGGTTGAGTGATGTGGTGATGATAACTTGAGCTGCCTGAGGCTTGGGCCAAAGAAGCTTTTCTGTGGCTGCTGAAGCTTGTCTGGGAAGCTTCGTATTCCTGTCTCTTTTTACCCAGTTTGATGTTAGGTTTGACTTTATTCTTCCTTAGCAGCTGCTACTATTAAATGTTTGTATTTTGGTAGCTTACAAAATTGGTGATCTGGGTTGGAACCTTGCACGAGGTGAGTAAAAGACAGTACATAGAGCTGACAGCTAAAGATGGCCTGTGACACTTGAATATGATGTCCTGAAATGAAAACCAATGAAGACAGGAATAAATGGTTGTTATATTGGCATCCAATGTACAGGGAATAATGAGAACTTGTTTTGCATGGCAGAGCATGTAACTTTGCTGGTTTAGATCCTGGTTTAATTCAGATAAATCTTTTGCTAAGAGACAAAAGAATAAATGATGAAATTCATTGGAACGTTTTAGTGCCACAGTGTGCGAAAATAAATTTGTGAAGACTTCTGTCCTGTATGCATTCCAGTGTACCTCTATGTAGAAAGAATAAGTTACAAAAGTAAACTCTGTATTTCAGTTTATGCTGCTAAGCAGCAGCAAGATCTGCTGCATATATTCCAGAATTACTGAAATGATGTAAGTTGTTCTTTTTAAGGCCTAGGTCTGATTCTTGTAGGGTGAGCTTGCAGTAGACAGGCAGCACCTCTCTAAGCAGTGGGGTTTTCTTCTTGTTGTTACTATTTTTAGAAGGTTTTGTATGAATTTAAGTAAATATGTTAAATCTTTCTGTATTCCTTGTTTCTCTCTCCTTACACCAGCAATATTTTGTATGATGTGTCTTTTTACATTCTGAATAAAGTCTAGCTGACTGTTCATTGCTTTTTGTAGCCAGGAAACCCAGGGAGGATTGAACCCATTTTTCCCCCCATAGCATTCTCATGGCAAAAATGGGATGCATACAGAAAATTGTTTACTAGTCTGGAAAAAAGAGAGAGCCTCAGAATATGAACTGCCATATTATCTTGCCTGATAGCATGCAGTGTTGCTGGCTGAGTTACTGGGCTAGCCATCTGTGCATGTTGCTTTATAATAGCTCCTGACTTGTGTGTTGAGAGATTGAGAACATATTTCTAGGACATTCTATATAGACAATGCTGATTTTTTTTTTCTTTTTCCATTTGTTTTGGATTATTTGTAATAAAAACCTGATATATAAATACTGGAATGAGTCTAACAACTATTCTTCCCTTTTGTAGGCAGTTTCTGTGGAGCTTCAGACTCCCAGGAGAGGCTCAAAAAATTGACCGTATGATGGAAGCTTTTGCTTCACGCTATTGCCTTTGTAACCCAGGAGTCTTCCAGTCTACAGGTCAGTCACAGGAAACCACAGGAGTTCTTAAGTACTTGTGTGATCCAAATAGAGTTTTTATTTATATATATTTGTGTGTGTGTGTGTGTTCTTCTACATCTGATGCAAAGATGGAAGTTAGGGATAAAATAACGTGGGAAATGAGAAATACCTGAAAACGAGAAAATGTGACTGACTAATCCAGGAGGTGCAAGCTTATGGTCAGAATGGTCATTTTCATTTATAAAACATCACAGAACTGCACAGAATGCTCTGGCATTGCTGTTCTGTTTGCTGTGCTGTATACACAAATAGATTGCTCTTGATCACTTCATTTAAGGAACAGATAGGATGGGAAAAGGTTGGTGTAAAGCAGGTCTGTAACAGCTAGAGAGGAAAATAGCTACTGATAACAAACTGCTGAAGATGCAGGCACATTTTCCCTCTCTATAGCAGCTTTTCATCCTGCTTTTTCTCACACAGAATCTTGTACTTCAGTTCTGGGAGGATTTTTACTATAATCATAACCATGTCAAGAGGCATGATAAGATTTCCTTTGTCATCTTCTGATATTATCCAGTAGTGCTAGCTACCTCCTGTATGCCAAGGAATTGGATCAATGTCACTTTCAGTCTTTTTAAATGCAGTCAGAATATTACTTTGAAGAGACCATTCTTTCTCTTTGGAGAGAGCTTTGGAAGTACTTTGAGTAGGAGGAGGCTGATGGACCAGGTTTATTATAGCATCCATCACTATGATTTAGGCAAAATCTGTGCAGAGAACATTTTGCCCAACACTTAAGCGTTTCAAGTGAAATGTTAATTTAAGGTGATAGCAATAAGCATAAGAGTTTAATTTTTTTGGATTTTCATACAGTTTTTCTTATACTTGTTTTTTATTTGAATTGTAACATTGTTTTGGCTTACTTAACAGCTTAAGGATTTTATACTTTTATGTACAGTGTCCAGGATTTTTTGACTGTTTCTTTTCCTTTATCAGCCAGGATGAGCTGTACACTAATTTTACAGGTTTGTACACACAACACATGGGAAGATAAACCATTTTTCAATCTGATTTCAGATACATGTTACGTGCTTTCATTTGCCATTATTATGTTGAATACCAGCCTGCACAACCACAACGTGCGAGATAAACCCACAGTGGAGAGGTTTATCTCCATGAATCGTGGAATTAATGAAGGTGGGGACCTTCCAGAGGAACTGCTGAGGGTAAGTTGGGCTGGCTAGGACAAAGCCAGGCTTTGTGTTTTTAATAGCAGACTTAAAAGTAGTGTGTACAACAGTTCTCAGGCAGATTTGTCAAGGGAGGGCAAAAGAACATTTTCTGGCATATGTAACCATTTGAGTAGCTGAAAGAAGCATTTTTTTGTTATTCACAGCTACTTTGAGCTAGTTCTGCCTATACCCAACCTTTTGTTGAGAACAGGCTGTTTCAGAGAAAGCGCTCTGTGTATCTCTCAGTAGTTTGCTTATGGCAAAATTCATGTGGAATTGGCTGCTTATGAAAAAAGTAGCATTTCTATCAGAAAAATCATAAAAATTATTTTTTCTTTATTGCCTCTAATTTTTCCCGCATTTTGTGAAGTTCCCTCCTTGAGAAATCAGTTAAAAAACCTGCTGTAAGACAGTGTTATGGGCTACACCATTTTATGAAAACCCAGATTCATTTGGCAAAATTTGTACTAAATGAAACTGATAGTGAAACCTTCAAAATACTAAATGCTGAAGTTAAAATAAAAATGTCATTGCTAGGAGTGGTTAAGAAATTTTTACTGAAGAGAGACTTGTGTACAGATGATGTAGTTTAAAATGAAACTTGATCAAAGTATTAAACAAAGGTAGACAGGGGGTGGTCCAGAATTCTATGGACAGTATTTCCTGTGCTTTTTATACTAATAATCTGAGAAGCAGTAAGATATCCTGGTTGCATTTTCTGTTAAGACATTTATTAATGAGGTCTTTTTCCTCTTTTATTTTTCTAGAATTTATATGAAAGTATTAAGAATGAGCCATTTAAAATTCCAGAGGATGATGGAAATGATCTAACGCATACATTTTTTAATCCAGATAGAGAAGGTTGGCTGCTGAAATTAGGTTAGTCACAAGGGCAGTTCTGCTGCTGTGTGTTTGTTCATTGTTAGCATGTTTGCTGCTCCGTGTCTTCCTGCTTTCTTGTGAAGGTAACAGGTTTCACTTTGTATTTAAAAATGTATGAACCAAAATAAGTAGCTCCTTTACGTCTGAAGGCTGTTACTTCTGATTTTGCCTACCCAAATTAGCAATCAGGTTCAAACTTCGGAGTTTTATTTCTGAGATCTGAGAAATAAAAACTCGTCGACAAAAAGGAAACACCACATGGTATTTGCCACATGCTGTGACTGATAAATAACAACTGAGTCTCCATAAGGTCATTTCAGAAAACCGTGTGTGATGTTTCAACACAGTTTTCTGTGTACAAAAAAAGGATTTCTCTTCAAATAGTTATTTTTGTATGTCTTTATTTTTCCATATTATTTGTGAGTTTCTCTTGGTTTGGTTTTGGCTATGATTTTTTAATGAGTGGTTTAAATGTGCCTTCTTGTTTTCCTTATGGCCTATGACCTATCACCTTTCTGTTCTGTGACTGGCTGTCTCTGCTTATTCTGCATTAGGAGGTACGTATCTGATTGCTTTCCAGTCCCCTCTTCTTCAGTTGCTCATTCTTTTATTTTCTTCCTCCTTCCTCCTGGCTTTTTCTTTTTTTCTTTTCTTTTTTTAAAATCAGATTCGTTGTAGCATTTTGCTTTTTCACTCAGTGTCACTAACAGTGTCATCAGTGGTGCTCTGAGGGACTGGCATGTCAGTGTCTGACTCACATGCAGGTGTGTTCTGCAAAAGAAGAAAGCATTTACATGCAAAGCAGAAAAATAAGGATGACTTCAGCACACTTTTATCATTCATGGAAGAACATAACAAGGAAAGAATAATCTCTGTTGAGAGTAAACAACATGTCTTACTCTGCCATGAAGTTTCAGAGTGTTTTTGTTACTTGTTCATCAATGATAATAGGTTGTTGAAAGATTGATTACATTTGAACTACATATTTATAAAAGCTGTTCTTTTTACTGCTTGTTTTCCTTTTAAAATATTTAGCTTATTTAAACATTTAGCTTATTTAACAGAGTCTTAAATGAGCTTCAAATTTAGGGTTGCAGGAACCTCAGGTAGTTCAGTTTCTTGGCACTGTAGGATGCCTTTGTTTTTACAGACTTATAAAGTTGATGGGATTCACTCTTTCACCTGGCCTTAGGGATTTTTTTTCCTATTTAAAGGAGACTGACACTTTGTTTTAAGAGTTGTTTTCAAGACAATAAATTTTTTAAATTCAAACACCAGCAACTTCCCTAGAGACAGTTGTTGGCCACTTTAATGTGTTGAAGTGGAAGGAACTTTGCACTTGGAGAATGGTGACTAAAGTGTGGAAATTGATGCTGCTGGGGTGCACATGGGGAGGATGGTGAAAGTGGAGCCTGGACAGAGCCATAGGCCACAGTGCTGATGGCACCTGGAACTTGGTGGCCATGCTTGTGCTGGAAGGAAATGGATGTGAAAAGGAAGCGTTTGGAATTCATTCACGTGCTCCCCAATGTCGAATTCTGACCTCTGTGCTACAGATGCTGTGGAGCTCCTTTTCTAACTACAAAGAAGCAAAGCTCTTGCTTTTTGAGCTGTATTGGCTCAGCTAGCACAATGTCAAACATGACCTTGCAGCTTTTCTCCATTTGGTAGCATGAGATGATGGGTAACAGAAAAGCCTTTCAAGCTGCTGTAGGTGGAATGTGCTTTTGGAGGAGAGGTCGAGTGTAAGGCCAGGCTGTGCCTGTTGCTGTTGCCAGTGCTCCCTCATGAACTTACACATAATGGGAGTGCAGGCAAGTGTGAGTGTGTGTAGAGGAGTGACAACATCCTCTGTGGAAGAAACTGCCCATAAAAGAGATCTAATAAAAAATAGAGGAACAAAGAAATTGAGGAAGCGATGACTGAAAGTAAGTGAGAGCTGCCAGGAACTTCTGCACAGTCTGTCTGTGGTGCAAAGTCAATAAACCACAGGTCAGGACTGAGAGCTCTGTCTGAGTGTGCAGTGTGTAGGATGCAGATGAGGCACAGTGCACAGAAGCCCCAGTAGTAAAAGGGTGTGTGAGGCAGAAGGGTGTTACACGTAACACTCCCACGGTGTGAGGGTTGTTTGAATAAAGAAATGAAACGTGTCCAGAAGCCTCTGGTGAATCAGCCTGGGAATGCCTGGAGCTGGGCTTCTGTGAAAGACTGCATTTTTTCCACAGACACAGACTGCTACAGACTAATACACTGCTGGTTTAGATGCAATGACCAGAAATAAACCTGACAGTCTTTTTTTTTTTCTTTTCTTTATTTTGTTTTCCTTTTATTTCTTTCCTCTCTTTCAAGTTTCCTATTTGCTAGGAGTCTTAAACTGTATGTTGAGAGTGCTGTCTCAATCCACATTGTTTGCATTTTTACAGTTCTTTCTCTTGGGAAGCACTTCTTGTGAAATGGGTGTGGTTTCCTTCAGTTCTAGAAGCTTCTGATACTAAAAACTTGTGTATTGTTGAAATGCTAAGAAGACAAACTCCTGTGTGAGGGTTTAAATGCTCAGTTTTGATAAAACACAGAAGTTGAAATAGAAAGTTTTTATATAAAACTATAACCATGACTAAGACTACTTGCAGACTCTGAGTATATCAAGACAGTACTTTGTATCTGGTGTTTCTCATAGTCAGCTCTTCCCATTTATGTAGTTGTGCCCCTTTTTCAGTATTCCACCCCTTACTGTATTGATTTTTCTCTGGGCAGAGATAGATATTGTGAAACTTTAAAATATTGCAAAATTCATCTGTCCAAGAGACTACTCTGGGTTTTAGAAGGCTGGGAGGGTACAGAAGGCTTTTGGAGAGTTTGCTGCTCTGAATTGTTCAGAGGTGACCGTGTTAAGTCCGAGTGCCAAACCTGACAGCCAGACAGCAGTTCTGGTTTTATCTATCTAGACTTAGCCAGTGCCTTTAAATAGACGTCTTTATCTTGGTAGGCCTAAATTATCATTCAGTTCTGTATCATTTGAAGCATGGTGTAATGAAAATGAATGCAGCAAGTTAAAAACTGAAAGCTGCTGAGTGCTAATGAGTCCTCCTTGGAGCAGCTTGACACACTGTGAGCCTTCAGATTTTTCTGCATAATGAGTGGTGTAGATACCATGAAATTTTCTGCCATCCACTCTAAAGTGAACTTTGAACTTGTTGCCTGTGCTCTCTTTGCTAATGCCCAAGTTAGAACTGTTTTGCCAGGAAGGTGTTTCCTTGCCTTAAACAGATTCTCTTGGCCAATTGCTTGGTTTGTGTAATATTTTCTTCTAGTTAGAGGGAAACTTTGACATTATTCCCCCAAACTGGAGAGGAAATTATTTCAGCCAGACACATGAGTGTGTTAATTCTTTCTGCCAGTCAGGCGGTTACGGAGTGCTTGGAGAAGGTCCAGGAGCTTCACATCCGGGGCTGTCCCGCCAGCGGTGCCTGTTCCAGCACATCTGGCCTTGGGAGGATGTTGTTCCTCCTCCCTGATGTGGCTGGGAGAACAGGGCTGTTCATCAGGAACCAGAGCCTTCCGGTACCTGCCTGCCTCTTGGGGGGACTGAGGCTCTTCCAGGTTCAGGCAATCGGTGCTGTGGCCAAGGGAAAAGGATTTTTAAAAGAAAGCCAAACTTTGATCCAACCAACTGTGTAGTTGCTGAGTCTGTTCTGTCTGGTGCTATCCAGATTAACTGAGGAGAAAACAATACATTTTTGGTGTGTGCATCTCTCAGCTCTAAAACTTTTTATATAAATGACCTGAAGATTTGAGTAGAACTTTCTAACTTTAGGTACCTTGCTGTCTTTAGCCTTAAGGCCTTTTTTACTTTGGAGATTTATGTTTCCTAAGTCCTTGCCAGTTATTTTCCTTTTATTATAGTTGGTTTCTTTTACCTTGTTGCCTAGTGTGTTCTTTGCCCAGAGTTTAAAAAAAAAAAATCCTCTGTTGAGTTACAAAGGTGAAGAGGATTTCTGTTCCTGTTTCTGTACATTTTGCCTTGTAGCCTTTTCTTGTAGTTTACTTACATTTCCACCTACTGTGGAAGATACTGTGCTTCTATACTTCATTATTTGAGATGTCTGTGCGTTTTTGTAATCAGCATGATCTTTCAGAAGTATGTCACTTATCTCTCCGTTTCTGTAAATGTTTATGGATTCATACTCTGGTTTTCTTGATCCTCTTCTGCTAACTTAATTCCCTCCAGTCCTAATCTTTAAAAGGCTGGGAGCTGGAATAAGAGATGAAGTATGGCCCTAAACTCTCTGTTGTTGCTTTATGAGCCTACAGCAATCTCAGCCAAGGACAAGAATGTTTTGTTATCATGTGTTTTTACCTGTTAATCTCATGCGCAGTTTACAGGCCACAGTGCCTTATCAGCCACCTGCTTGAGCTGCAGCCCATTGTAAAGGCATATTAAACACATGTGATGTGGTGACCCCTGTAAATTTGATTAATACAGATTAGATTTTGAGCTTTATTAGAGTTTCTGTGCTGTTGACAGCTGAAACTCAGTATGAAACCCTCTGTATGGGGAGACAGAGACTTATATGTGAGAGTAGTTCCTTATCCCACCAAAAATCCTGCCTAACTGCTTTCTTTTTTTTTCTTTTTATTTTTTTTTTTTTTCTCGTTGGAAGAGTAACTGATAGCTTGGTGGAGCAGAGACTTAAGGTCTATTTCTATGACTCCCATGAGTGCTGTAACCCAGTGAGCTACTGGCTGTTTTAGGAGAAGGGAGCAGTAAGAGGGATGTTGATGGAAATACATAATCTTCTTTGTGGCTTCCCTGGAACTGGGTGATGTTTCATGACAAAAGCTTCCTCAAAACTGCAGCATGATTACAGAAGGTTTCAGGCCTGAGAAATCTGGCTTTTCCAGAGAGAGTGGATGTTGTCAGGAAAACATTCAGCAAACTCAACTGCTGTTTACTGCTTGGCAATTCATATTGTTCTGGGAGTGTGTGTTTTAGGTGTGTTGTTTCTTTCTTAAATTATAAACAGGTCTTCTTTTAAATATATGGTGGTTACTGATTTTTTTTTATTGTGTTTTGACATGGTATCACAGCTAATGAGAAATGCCTTTGTTCACTTCAATCTCCTCTGTGATAGTAACCTCTTTCCCTGTTGGATTCATTCTCTCTCCTCCTGAATTATTTTCCTGCTAGCACCGGGCAAGCCATGACCTCTGATAGCTGATATTACTTGTTAGCCTGAAAAACAGGGTGTTTTAGGGTCATAAAATGTGAATTGATGTTAGTCTGCTGACCTTGGGGAGCAGAAGGAGGCGCTGGCAGCGCTGGGCTGTGTGAGATGGAGTCACGTTGTGCAGCCGCAGGGAGCGCCCGCTCCGTGTGACCCGGCCCTGCCTTTCCGTGGGGCTGCAGCTCCTCCTGCCCGGCCCAAACGCTTCCTGCTACCCGAGTCAGCTCTCGGTCAAGGTGTGGGGAATTTTTCTCGTGACTTACGTGCCAGTTTGATCATCTCTGCAGTGTTTATTTAAGGATCTGTCACAGTGGTTGTACTAAAATTCAGTTCTTCCCTCACTGTCTCCAGTTCACTCAGCCATTCATTGTGTCACAGCTTCTGCATCTTGCACTTTTTTGCCTTCACTTATTTCACCACACCTGCTTGCAGATTAATTTTTTCTTAAGATATGAGTGCATCTGGTGGAAACATCAAGTTTATTGAGTACATTTAATGTTGCAGTGTGTTAACACTGGGCTGTTGTGGAGGTTGTGAAACGCAGCAAAAGGAAGGTACAACATGCAACAATGCAAATATGCAGTAGATTGGTATCAAGGAATGTCATGATATCCCTAGAATTGTTCTTTAATTTGAGTTGGATTTCTGTATTAAACAAAACCCCAGCTATCTTAAGCAGAACAAAAAGATCAAAAAATTATGCTTATATCTTAAATTTGATTATATGACTTGGATTAAACTGGGTATCTTGTGTGTATTGATGGTGCTCTTTTATGCACAGGTGTTCAGTAGCAAGATCAACTCTTTTGAAATGTTGGCTTAATGAAATTAAATACTGCTGAATGGATGATGCACAGGTGGTGACATAATCCTGAAGTCAGATAACTATGGTGGATCTAAACTTTTAATAACATATGCATGCTCTATCTACAATTGTCTTTCTTGGAAATGAATTTTAAAATAATGTAATGTGGGAAGCCAGGTGTGTTCTGAAGCAGCCATTGGCAGAAGAACAACTGAGAGGGCCAGAACAATGCTTTTGTTTCTAAAAAGAAACTGTTCCCTATAGGGTGATATTAGCAGGTGTAAGGAAGAGGAACTCTGTGGTTGCTGTTGTCTAAACTGTTAATGAAGGAAAAATTGGCATTTTTGGAGCAGTAGCTATTTCTTCTGTCACGTGTACTCAGTGATTTATTAACCCATGAAGAGAAGATGTTATTTTAAAATACTGAAAGATGACAAATTATATACCATATACTTATGGTATATTTTGGCACAGGATTTGCTCTTCATTGATGACACACTGTATTTGTTCTGTTAATGTTTCTGAGCACCTTACACACTTGATATTAAATCTGAAAGTAAAGACAGGTTATTAATCAGCTCTTTGCTCACGAGTGAAGTGACAGGAAGGTGATAAAAAGCCCTTTAATTTTATTGATGGGACCCTTTCCTTGCCCAGGACAAGCTGTTGAGGGGTCTCTCGTGTTGCAGGGATGCAGTTGCTGGTTCTGTGGGTGTCAGAGCAGCCCAGGCTGGCCTCACTCACCCCCAGCAGCAAGGGCAGGGTCCAGCCCTGTGCAGAGCTGGAATTTTTGGTGCAATGAGCACATGTGAGGGCCTGGACAGAGGGAGCAGGTCTGGCCACTCACTGTTGCCCGTGGCTCTCGTGCCACCTCCATAGCTGATGCTGCCTCAGGACAAGTTGCAGTAACTTCCTTTAACCTCACTCATCTGTGCCTGATCCATTTACCATTAAGCAATTAAACCATACTTTGAAAAATAAGAACCTAATTATTTCCTTGCCTGTTGTTGAAGCTCTGACAGCAGCACGTGTTTAATTCTGGAATTCCTTTTGTTTGTAGGGGGAAGAGTAAAAACATGGAAACGGAGATGGTTTATTCTGACTGATAATTGCCTGTATTACTTTGAATACACAACAGTGAGTATATATCATGGTGAATTTTCTTTGTAATCAAGATTTATAAGTAACTAATAATGTGATATTTTCCTAATTTTTTAGGACAAAGAACCTAGAGGAATTATTCCATTAGAAAATCTTAGCATAAGAGAAGTCGAAGACCCTAGAAAACCAGTAAGACAGTTTCAAATTTATTTTTAAAACGAAGATGAGTAAACCATATGGAACTTAATTGTACTGTTAAATGAATTTATTTGTCAGTTTTGTTTTGTTCTTTTAAATTTATTCCTTCATTTCTACCCTCCAGAACTGCTTTGAGCTCTACAACCCCAGCCATAAAGGTCAGGTAATCAAAGCGTGTAAAACCGAAGCTGACGGCAGAGTGGTGGAAGGCAACCATGTCGTGTACAGAATATCTGCTCCCACCCCAGAAGAGAAGGAGGAGTGGATCAAATCTATCAAGTGAGTTTCAAGTCTCAAATTGAAGTCTTTCAGGAATGAAGTGTAAGCTCTTTTCAGAGTATGATATGAGGAGAATTTGTTGTAACTTGTTGGAAGAACTCTGATGTGGCAATGTCCTCGAGGACCAACAGTGAGCTCTGTGGGGCTGGTGGATCAAGATACAAATCTGTTACTGTGTGGTCCTAAGGAAATACTGCTGCTAACTCAAATGAGGAGAATATGGATTTGTTGTTCTATGCAAGTGTAAAATCTTGTGTGAATTGTCTTTAAAGCTAATTCTATTGGATTCTTACTTCACCCAAGAATTAACTTTAGTGACATGTATCTTAAGCATGTTCACAAGCAGCTTTAAACTTCGACAGCTTTACTTTATATTGGAAGGTTTCTAAGCAGACCCACACTTAAATAAATAATAGTCAAGATGTGAAGGTGTGAGCTCTGAACTAATCACAGTGGAATTGAACCTTGTGCTAAAGAAATAGTTGTGGTGCTTTGAAGTCAGCCATCAATCTTAACAGTGTGGAGTCATCCACAAGGAAGAGAGAACAAAAGTTTTAGTTTTCACAGCTATTGAAATAGTTAATGGGTATTTATTAACCAAACTGATGATACCTTTTTTTCTCTTCCAGAGCAAGTATCAGCAGGGATCCCTTTTATGATATGCTGGCAACAAGGAAAAGAAGAATTGCAAATAAAAAATAGAACATGAACAGCAACTTGCAGACCTGCATCAACCTATAACTGAACATACTGTGGAGTGATAGAAGAAATTGGACAAACTAAATGAAGATAACTGTAAATCTTATATATATATACATATATATATATATACACACATTTTACTATGGCATAAAAACTTGGCAGAACTTTTCAGGGTAAATAGTTACTGGTATATAATTTGAAGTAAGCTTCAATTCCCAGAGAATTATTATATTGGAACTTAATTCAACTGAACACATGGAAGCCTTGTTTTCACTTACATTAGTGACAACTCCAGTTTACTTGGGCTGGGAGGGAAGGAGTGCAGGGCTAACACTAAAACATCCTTACCTGTTACCTGAGCACACATTTCCCATAAAAGAAGGAGTTATTATAAGACTTTGAGTTCTCACTTAAGTGCAGCACCAACAGTGGAGCACAGCATGACCTGGCACTGCATTTTCCTAGAAGCAGAAACCTCACAGTCCCAGTGGCAGTTCTCAGTTGTGTGTGTTTCACAGAACCACCTGAGTGCAGCTTTCATTCAGGGTTCCTCTCCTGCCTTTCTGGAAATAGCTTTCCTTAGACACACAGTGGCTGGCAGCTCAGGGGGTACCTCTGGTGCCAGGGGGTTTGTCAGTGTGCACTGAAATACAAATACAGGCAGGCCCAGCAGCAGAGGCTTGAGGCTGTGGCCATGCCAGGAAGTACCAGATGTGGTCTGGTGTTTGCCAGTTGGCTAAAGCTCATTCCTGTCTGCTCATACACTCACAACAAACAATAAGGTTTGATGACTGGTTTAATCTGCTTTTTATATAGTAACTTCCTTCTTATGTGTGAGATGCTGTAGTTTGATTAACACTAAGTTGCTCCTAAAGGAGAGATGACAGGGCTTGTGTGACTTCAGGCCTTGCATGTGAAAACACCCCCAGATAATTTCACATGCATTCAGTGTTTTTAAAGGGAAAAGCCAGGAAGGTGAACTGTCCCTGTAAGATGCAGCCCTAGAGAGTTAAGCCAGCAGGATTCATTCCTTTGCTTGATAACAAACTTTGGACATAGAGAGTTTGTGCAAGTTTATACAAGTTCAGTATTTTTATTGCATTCTTAAAGATGATTTTCAGATTTGTGCTACAGCAGTTGGAATTGAAAAAAATAGACATTTTTACTAAAAAATAAAATATTGATTGCCTGGTGCAGCTAGACTTCCCCACAGGCATGTGTCTCTTTTTGAAACCTGTGAAGGTCCTGCTGCTGGATCTTTCAGGAACACATCACTGGCTGCAGCAGATTTTACTCCAGTGCTTTTCTGTTGATAGCACACATATTGTTCTTGGGGTAAAGCCCCTAATTCCACAACAGGGGCAAAAAGTGGGAACTTTTGACTCTACTGCTTCTGTTACTTCCCAGTTTTTCCCAAATTTGTTGAACCTGAGCTGTGCCTACTGTGCCAGTGGATGTGTTGGAGACCCAAAATGTTCAAGCAGCTTTGCTTGTTGGCTGCAGGAGCACCTTTGGCTCTGTTGTAGGGAGATGTGCTGCACTGGCAAACCCACAGACTTACCAAGCTGATCTGTCTGAAATCTCCTTTGAACTGTAAGGGAGAGTCTGTTTCACTGTTCTGTCTTACTGATTTGCCTTGTTTTGCATGGAGTGTCAGCCTTGTGAGTGTTTTGCTTTATTGCATGTTTGCAAAAGAGGCTGAGAGGAAAAGAACAAAGTAAATTTTCCTACATTTTAGATTTTTCCCAGGGTGTGTGGAATTGCTTGGGTGAATGTTTAAATCTTAGTGCTTCCAAAGGAGTAAAACTCAGCCAGAGGAGGTAGAATCCTTGAGTAAGTGTCAGTGTGGGGATATCTTAATGGAACACATTGAAACTCTTAATAGAAATTAATTAAGTTGTGTGTCCTGTGTTTGCAAAGCAGCACAATGATGGAGCTGCTGCCAGCACTTGTTTGGAGTCCTCTGTTCTGCAGTGACATTTTGTTTTCAAGCACTGCCTACATCAAGTCTTAGCTTTGGACAAGTAGATTTGTAATGCAAATAGTGACAGGCCAGATCAGTGGTACTAGTGAGCATAAATGTGAAAGGCAGCAAATACAGTATTTCTGGAGAAATGTGAGATTACAAAAGCATTAATAAGCCATGAAGCACTTTTGTATCAATTTTTATTTTCTGAAATACCACCTTTGAGGAAATCTATTTATTTAACCAGGTGAGGATGTCTGCCTATGAGCATGAAGGAAAGGCCTTGACAGTTCATTTGCTGTATTTAGTTTGAAGTTCTTATATCCGGCAGAAATAATTATTTAGAGTGACGTGTAACTGAGGATATTATAGCAGGAAATATTTTATTTCTTAGCATTGAAATGCAACATCTTAAACAGGTGCTCAATGTATCTATTTAATTTACCAAAGCTAATGGAATAGCGTTTTTGTGTGTGTTAATATTTGATTTCAAATGTTCTTTGTAACAGTATTAACAGGGAGTGAAACTGGCCCAAAATTTCCACTGGCCACGGGGCCAGTAAAACAAAGTGGCTTGTGAAAATTTTGGCCATATCAGGTACTATCCATGAGAGTGAAGAAAAATCTCTCAACCTTTCCCTTTTTTATTGGGCTTCAAGTCCAGGGGTGGCTACTGAAAGTGGCTGCTTGGTGGCATAAAGCAGGATCTGTTACAGTTTGGCCATGCTGAGGAAAAGTCCTCTGGGGACAACAGCTTCTCCCTTCCTGTGGCACTGAAAGGTGAGGAATTCTTGAGCTCTTTGCTTTTGGCCCTGCCCTCTACAGCTGCAGGGCAGTGAGAGCCACGGTGTCAGTGCAGCTGGGAGGGAACTCCACACTAAACTTAAGCTCAGCTGGACTGACTTAAATTTTACAATATTCTGACAAAATAAGTTCTGCATCACTTAGCATTTTGAACCATTGTAGACTGGTACAAAACTGAACCTTTATAAAGTGAGCAGCATTTGTAATGCTTCATATATAAAAAAACTGCATATTTTTAAGATTTATTACATATCTATGTAGATATGCTTGCTGGAAAAGCTAGGTCTGTTGTAGACCAGATACTACAAATTAAGACTTGTGGCTTACCAGTTTCATTTCTATATTTTCTTGGAAAATGTTTCTAGCTAGAGTTTAAATATAAAATGTAAATACTGTACAGGTATGTATTGATATGAGTATTACTTCGTGTATACAAGTGATTTGCATGACAAATATTCTGTATCAATCATTGTTATAACGGTGATGTTCTTATGTAAAGCCACTGCAATATTAATGTTTTCATTTATCATTAAGACCTGTTGCTTAAATCTGTCAATTTTCTCAAAAATAAAGTGTGAAACTGTACTGTCTCCTCATTTACCAGGAATACATGGCAGGCAATAGCTGACTCTTAAGAGGTTAAGGTTTAATTTTCCAACTGCTCTTGTAAGTAAAAGGCCTCTTTACCCTTAGGCACAGTAATTTAAATTATCAGGTTTCATTTTTTTCAGAGAAAAAACCCTTCAACTGCAAAATGTTTCAGTGAAGTGTGTTAGCACATGAGTGTGACTCCAGTAAAAGGAGGTTTCCCTCGGGAGCCACCCTAAATTGAGGTATTTTATTTTGTCATTTCCCTGCCAGGAGTTTGTCAGCTGTGAGGGGGGAAGCGGATCTCTGCTCCTGGAGTCATTAATTAGTTTCCTCAATTAGCAATTAGGAACAGGTGCTGCTGCTCCACAGCTCTGGGGCAGTGTCACCCAGTGCCCTCCCTGCTCCAGAGCCATTGGGGCAGCTGGGCTCTGAAGGGAGGCACAGCAACAACACCAACTCCTTTGAGAAGTTCTGCTGGAGTTACTCATCAAAGGACAAGACACCAAACCTTGGAGCCAGAGGACAAAAGAGGAAAAAAAGCCAGATACAGGACAGGAGTGTTGGTTACTTTGCCACTCACTTTATGTAAGTCACAGAACTGTTGCCATAGGAACATTATGCAGGTACATTATGCTTTGGCTTGATGGTGTTCTCTGTGTACCAAAAGATTGCTTTAAACTATTTAGTGAGACATTAACCTTGCTCTAGTTTGCTTTTTTCCCTGTTAGTTTTGGTTTTGTGGTTTGTTTTGTTTTTTTTTTTTGCCATACACAATACCGAGCTCCTTCCCAACCTGGTGCCTGGCTGTGGAAGCTTTAAGTTCAAAGGAGGAGCCTTCAGCATCCTTGTGCAGGCAGCTGCAGTCCCAGTTACTGATTTTCTTCTCTGGCTCACACCAACAGCACCTTCTCCCCTACACTGAGGGGAAGATGTGACTTCTCCAGTGTCAAACCCACTCTGACAGCTCTCAGCTCCCATGACACAGTGCATGTTAAATAACTCAAGTAAAACTCAAGTAAAAATCCATTTTAACTTTGCTGTATTTATATACTATATAAATTTTACATGCTATATATTTACAGTGGGGCAAGTGCTTTTTATCTTTAAAAAAACAAAGATCAAACTTTAGACATCTCTGAACAACACAGCTTGTATAAACCAGACAGATTATTCAGATGAACTGTATTTAATACAGGTTCCCCACTCATCTCCTGATGCAGGACCAGTGAATAATAAGTGCATCACAGTTTGATAGCATTTAATAATAAAAATAAAAATCACAGTATGAATTTGTCTGTAACTAGACACTTTAGAGAGACAAAACAGACAACTGAGACTTAAGACAAATGACAGTATATTAAGAAAATGTAATAAAAACATATGGAACAATATACAAATAGTCTTGAGAGATACATTCAGAACTGCATATTTGTTGTTTCACAATGTCGAAAACCAGAAGATTTTCTTCAGATCTTGAATATAACTCAAATGTGAAGTAAATTAGTTTCTAGTGTCAGACCACAGAAAAAAAAAAATGAAGCTCTTGCAAAACTTGTGAAGTTTTAAATAAGTCTTTAAATTAAATATACAGACTGTCAGTTGCAACTTTTATAATTCCTGGTCGCTCTTGCACCAGATGTCTTAACTTGGAGTAACATTACATGAATAACATAAAGTCAACCTGAGTCTGTAATTAAGCAGCATTTGAGATGGTCTATTCCAGGGCATTATCTCAGCTCAGTGAGATATTTATGTGGTAATTTACAATGTTCAGCAGTTGTAAAAAGTTTTCACCCTTTTGGATTAGAAGTATATTTTAAAAAAGAAAGTCTCAAGTTAAAAACTAAAAAAAAGTTCTTATATGGTAAAATTCTGTACAGAAATGTTAAGCACCACTTATGACTGGATTTTGTCTTGATGGTAATTGATAATAAATCTTAAGTTTTGATGGTCACTATTGGTAATGTCAGGTTAGAAGGTAAGAAGTCGTTGAAGGTAAGAAGTCGTTGGATCCGATGATGAGAAGTTGTTGGTTCTGAAGGTGAAGGGTTGGTGGGGTGGTGGTCAGAAGTCCTTGGGGTTGGTGGTGGGTTCAGTCTGAGTATTGAAGGCTTTCATCAGTCAGCTCCACATCTGAGAGGCAAAAGGAAACCAGGTCAGTCCTGCTGTGGCATTTAACATTAAACTGCTCAGGGGTCTGGTTTCTAAAGGACAAGGCTCAAAGCTGCCCCAGCTCCATCTGCTCCCTCAGGCAGGATCCAGCTGCTCCCCAGTCCTAGGCTAAGGCTGCAGAGCTGTTCAGAGCCTTAGGACAGAGCCACCTGCTTGAACAGCAAGAGCTGGACCTTGGCTGGAGCAAATGTAATTGAAGTTTTTCAATTCAATTTGCCTAGAAAGCAGCATTGTTTTAGTAACAATCTTGTGGTCAGGCTGACCATATTGTTCCCACAAGGGCAGAGCCTTCAGAAACTTGCTGGAGAGAACATGCAGGAATGTAGGAAAGAACTGCTTCAAAGCTGCTCCTTCCCCCTCCTGTATAAACTTTTCTAAAAAAACAATTTTTCACTAGCTGTTTTCATCCTTATTAATTTACTCAAAATAACAGGAGTTGGGTGAAAAGGCACAACCTCACAAATCCTCAGTTGTTCCTTGCCTGTCCCTACCTTGAGACATTTAGCATTCTAAAAACACAACCAAAGCAGCTTCCATCCAACAGAGAATTCTACTTGAGACCCACTTAAAAAAAAAAAAAAAAAAAAAAGACTGACATTCCAGAAGATGGAGCTAATTAACATCCACAGACTTGAGGAAATACTAAAATTCTCAAGACTTAAACTGCTTTTTCCAGCCCTTGTCTCCCCCTGGTGTTGTTCAGCAATGAACAAACAGCTCCTTCTCCTTCTCCTTCTCCTTCCTGCACGGCCCAGCACCCTCAGTGCCCTGCCCTGAGCAAG